AGGATGAAGGGTCTGTCTGATACAGGCAAAGGAGTAAAAGCATGGCAGGCCTTCCCCCCTCTTCTTACCACCTGCGGGGATTTTATAAAACATACGCTTATTTAGCTTTCTCCTGCCATTAGTCTTGCATTGAGTCGTATCATGTGACTTCATTCTGCAAAGTTCTGTACCATGAAGAACTTTGGAATGTGTGAGAAGAGGGCACAGAGGACAGCCTGTACCCCAACCCCTGAATCCTGCTGACTTGTCTAGGGAGAATTTTAGCTTGTGACATCCTTCTTTCCCAAGAAATCTATGTTATTTCCAACCTTCCAATGTCACCACCACCACCACCACCACATCATGAGGCAGAAACTTCACGACTTTATAATGCAAGTTTGGAAACAGGTGGCCCAGCTGGGCAGATGATTCAGACAAAAGATATCCAATCATGGGCAGACCCAGTTCTCCTGCTTCCCAGATTTGGTTACCAGAGCCTGGGCAGGATTCTGGCTCCTCTTGCCCTCTGTGGCTGAGCATCACTGCTTTTATTTTTAGCACAGGGAACAAGAGAATACAATAAGCACATGCAGGGAAAACCATTCAATGGAGAACTTCCCTTTCCTTCTGTTTCCAATCTGAGAGGAAACCTGAAAGATCCAAGTTTATAAACATCCCCCTGGCAAAACACCCTATTCCAGTAATAACCTGGATTTTGTTTGAACTTGAAGGAAACCACTCCACATTAACCTGGATTCAGATGACTTTGGCATGGAATTCCAGGTTGGCAATTTCAGGTATTTTGCTCATTTTGGCTCATTTATCCCCAGTAATGCCTGTGTTTTATAATGAAAAACTCAGCACATGAACCCTCTATGTAAGCCTTTGCAGCTGGATGACAACTTAGATTCATGATTTTGAGTCTGGTAACTGATTTTTCCTATTAGCTTCAAGGAAATATTTCTCCCATTATTTTAAGTTTAGTATCATTTAATATGACTATTACAGTATGTCACGCCTCCTCTAAGCCACCCTCCAATCTGTTACTGGCCAATCAGAAACATCATATTCCTTATTTAGCACTTGCAAATCCTTCAGGTGTATAGTCTATATAAGTAGCGCATACACACACACACACACACACACACACACACACACACACACACACACACAAGTAGAACCAACACTTTGGGCAGAAGGTAATATATCTTGATAATAACTAGTCAAATAGTTTATTTTCCCTTCATCAATGCACCGGTGCCCTCATCATATTCCCACAGAGAGGAAATAAGATCAAGGGGCTTTGAAGTTCTCAGTATCTTGCTTTCCACACAATCCTTTCTTTTCTTACCCTGGCACAACCTAAGAAGAATCATGAGTTCAGCACAGTTCCTCTCCTGAGCCAGAGAGCCCTTTCTGTGTGTCTTTAGACATTTTTCTCTGAGCTGGGCCCTTGGAGCCTCCTGTTACCAAGTGGTGTCACTGCACTGCACTGGCTGTGGCAATCTCCTAAGATGACGACTCCCCTCCCTGCCAATTCCATTGAGTTTTCAAGAAAGCCAGTCTCCAGTTTGTAAGAACACACACCTTCTCCAGAGCTAACAACATCATAGGTTTTCTAGATTTGAATCGTCTCACTACTACCTGTGAGCCAAATCCACCGTGCAGCATGTTCTTGTTTTTCAATTAAGTTTTATTAGAATGTAGGCATGCCCCACTTGCTTACACATTGTCTGTGACTACATTCATATCATAACAGCGGTGTTCAGTTGCAGGACAAAAAGGCCTAAAATAACTCTCCAGCCTTTTACAGCCAGCCTGTTGACTCTTGTCCAGCTGATCACCATTTCTCCTCCCCCTTTTGGGTATACAATCCTAGTCATTTGACAGCTGTAGCTGATCTAAACTCAATGATGTATTCATCTTCTTAACACAGGGCCACCGCCTGCCTCATCTTATCACAAATATGTAATTCCTATGGTAGAAACTAGACAGCCTCAAAGGCTTATATAATGATATAGTGAAAATAATCTGCTTAACTCCAGAACATGTGATTCTATAAATTCCTGCTAAGAATGCGACCTGATCCTAGTCTCTAAACACATTCATCTCTGTATAAAGTGAGATGGTGTAGGCTAGTTAGTTACTCTTTCATCTTTTTGTAGACTGACTAAATAGGGAATATTGATTCTGAGGTCAGAAAAACCTGGATTCTATTCCAGGCTCTGTAATTTTCTGTCTATGTGACCTTTAAACCCATGTAATAATCTCTCCAGGGTTCAGTTTCCTCATTCATCAAGAAAGTGTTTTGGTTTTATTTCGTTTTCTAACATCAATCATTTAACATAAATAACTTATGAGGGGAAAGTTTATCTTAGCTCACAATTATAGAGGTTCTAGACCATGATGGATCAGACCACTTTTTTTCAGCCCTCTTGATGAAGATGCTAGATTGGTATGGTAGTAAGATGTGTGTTGGAGCCAGCTTCTTACCTCATGCAGGAAAGAAAGAGGGCTGTGCTTGCATCCCATAATCCCCTGTGTGATCACACACCCAACACCCAGATAATGTGGCAGTTCACAGAAGTCTTGGATCAGGACATTTTTTTATTAAAGGATGAATTAATATAATACACTCACGAATACAGAATAAAGTGGCACCCCTGCCTCTTTGCTCACCAGGGAGGTATGTGGAAAGATTGGACCAGGTCACTGAGCTGTGGCATCAGGAAGCCTTCCATGTCCAAGCGGGCCTCAACCCTCCCCCTATCTAGTCTTAAAGGTTCATGTAGCCCCAGAGAAGACCACGCCCATCAGGCCAACCTGCTCCATTCCATCAGTCATACATAGACTGAATGGCCAAATTCCCACAACAGACAGAGGACCTCATGTTTAACTCATGGACTTCCGGGGGGGGGCATCACCTTTCAATCTATAGCAGCCTCACATACAGCTGAACCACACCTTCTCTAAAAAACTTGGTACCATAGAAAGAAGAAAGAGATCACTTTCTATGTGGAACTGTTGAGGGAGAAATGTGAGATAAGTGAGAAAGGAATGGGTTCATGTATTCTCTCTCTCTCTCTCTCTCTCTCTCTCTAATTGATAATACTCAATCAGGATCCCCCCCCATTTCTTAATAACCTAGTTTTCACTAACAACCCTGCTTATCATTAGATCATTCCCATTCCAGATGGTGACCTGGCCAGACCTCTGTTGACAATGTGCTGTTCACCTATTTCAGCTTGGCCCAGGAGTGGGAATATGAGTGTTTAAATGAAATTAGAGCTACCTGATTCTTCCTTTAAAAAAAATCTCTTCTCTCTCTCTCTCTCTCTCTCTCTCTCTCTCTCTCTCTCTCTCCCTCTCCCTCTCCCTCTCCCTCTCATTCTCTCATAACTTTGAACTGTTGTCTTTTTTTTTTTTTTGGTTTTTCAAGACAGGGTTTCTCTGAGTAGCTTTGTGCCTTTCCTGGAGCTCACTTGGTAGCCCAGGCTGGCCTGGAACTCACAGAGATCTGCCTGGCTCTGCCTCCTGAGTGCTGGGATTAAAGGCATGCGCCACCACCGCCCAGCGAACTGTTGTCTTTATATTCTTATTTTTTCTCTGAAAAATTCAGACTAATAAATATATGATTTATAATTTTATATAATCTTCAGGGTCATTTGCTACAATCTTTCTCAATGTAAGGAAACAGGAGGCTATAATCTCACAATGCCAGTCAATTAGTTAACTTCCCTAACAACTAAAACATTGGATTTATAACTCCTGATTCAGACAGTAGTCTGTGTGTCTGGCTCCTACTAAATAATCCTGGAAAATTCCAGGACAATGACTTCAAGTAAGCTGGACACCCTGGCTAGAATGCTCCTTTCACCCATCATTCTTAATCCATGAATCTTTTCAAAAGTTGATGATTTTCTTTTTTCCTTCTCTTCTTCCTTCTTTGAAAATTCTTCTTTCCTTCCTTTTTTTCTATGGTATGGTTTGGACAAAGAGACTTGGACAATATCACATCATATGCCTAAAGCAAGTATAGAAGAACATGAGCAATAATATATAAAATATTAGGAACTCTAACTGTATGCTTGCTATTGCTATGTGGGTGTATTATACTTTCCCAGAATACAGGGTCTGACTTTATTTTTTAATTGTTTTGTGTTCTTTCTTATTTCATATTTGTTTTGTGATTTTTAGAGCTGGTTTCTAAAGGTTGAATGGAATACTTCTAACCTGTGAAGAAGTTACACGTTGGTTCTATACAATTCAAATTCTAGAACCTAATAATTTTCCACTACTATTATTTGATGTGTCTAATTCTCTTTAATACAATCCTTTCTGTATTATAAGATGCATTAATGTTCAGGGTATTTGGGTGTTTCTGGTGAATATTTCCTATTTCATTGTGTAAGTATTGTTTTAATTTTATAATTTTAAAAAATGCTTGTAATTAAATTAGAATTATTTCACTTTCTCCCTTTCCTTTCCCCCCCTCCATCCTCTCTCAGAACTCAGGGCTGGGTTCCCCATGCTCCATTGATCTGTGCATTGTGTCCAGTTGTGGTTTTCTCTAATGGCCTCCATTTTCTGTAAAGGAAGGCTTTTTTTTAGATGTCTGATGAACCCTGTTATATTTCTGCCTTAAAGCCTTTACATTACTCATCTGCATTCTTCCCTCTCAAGAAATTTCAAGAGTTACTCAGTATTTCTTTCCATGGATTCTAATCTAAACAAATTTTGATAGGTTATATGTAGGTTTGATGGCCTAAAACAAACAAAAAAAATCCCTATTCAAAACTTTTTATTTCCTTTGCAGGTTACTTTGCTTTGTTTGTTTGAGTATTAGATGCCTGATGCACTAGAAAGGAACCTCAGTGAGGTCCATTACTCTGTCAGATGAATAAATAAATGAAACAGTATGATTTCCTGTTTTTACTATAAACCTCTTAAATTATGTTGAGATGTCTTGTTCTAGTGACATGCTTCTGTTAAAACTTCATTTTTTTTTTACTTAAAAAAAGAACTCTAGCTGCATTCCAAGGATGTCCTGCAGAGGATATAATATTTGAAAGTTGAGAAGTTCAGAATGCTACCTTGAAAGTACTATGAAGAATAATAAGTCTGCAGCAAACAGGCAAACAGAAACAGGTATGGAATCATCACCCCTTCTGGAATTTCTCAGGATAGTTTGCCTAGCTTGTACATTTCTAGATAACCTATTTGGCTTTTATTAAGCAATGAGCTGGGAATTATCTCCCACTGACAGTCCTAATCTTTAGTTTATGTTTTTTCAATGCCTTGTTTTTACCAGTGTGTCTTGGAGCCAACTTCCAATATTGTTCACAGAGTATTAATGTAAGGTTTCATTTACTAGCCTCAAATTTCCTGGTCATGAGCCTTACCTGCTTTCATGTAATGCTTTGCCATCCTCTGTTTCCATACCAACCAGTAGTATCACAGTTTGCCCCAATTATTTCAACCCCAGTCCTAGATATTATCCAAAGTAGAAATCACTCTTAGCATGATACTGGAAGACACTGTAAGAAAGTCCTATGAAATTTAATTGGCCAATCTTAGCTTGTCATAATTACAGATATTTCAGGGTATAGAAAAAAAAAGCTGAATGATATTAGAAAAGCAATGGGTACTTTGACAGTCATATGATTTATCAGGATCACACTACCATTCTACAATGGCATCTTGCATACAACCTTCTGATACTATGAAAGCTAGTCCTCAGAGAGAGGCTTACATCTCAGAAAAGTAATCAATAGTCCTATCCATCTGTAACTCCTACAAATCACAAACATCACCAGCCTGGCAAGATATCCAAAATGGTGCAAGAGAGTTGTACTTTTATCTTGGGGGTAACCAACCACCATCTACTTGTATGTAAGGTCTGCCCAATAGGAAGGAATTCATACCTGGTACTGTAAACATAGCCAGTTACTCATGGGTGGAAGGTTCATAAGCAATGGAGAGGAATTAAGTGACGCCCAGCACCAGCTGATATATTTACAATACAATTTTGACACCCAACGCATAGGTAACATTGTTGAAGAGGAGGTAGAAAGATTGTAAGAACCATAGGACCAGGACACTTGCTGCTAGATAGTGTCTTCCAGAGGTGACAAGGAAGCTGCCCTCATGAAATTCACCAATATGGTTGTCAAAACAAGACCTGAGTAATTAATTACACTATGAATTAAGATGCTAATGATGTAGCCAAGGAGAATTTCACAAGGTCCTACCCCTGAATTACAGGCAATCAATAGCTGGACACACACACACACACACACACACAGAGAGAGAGAGAGAGAGAGAGAGAGAGAGAGAATCAGGAGAATCAGTCTTCTTCAGAATGAGCCCCATCGTAGGTTATTCAATCCCAAATGATCATATCTAGACACACATCCATAAGAGAAACACCAAAGGGGCTCGGGAGTGTGTGTGTGTGTGTGTGTGTGTGTGTGTGTGTGTGTGTGTGTGTGTGTGTAACCATAATAATTATAGAAGAAGAGATCTTGGAGTCAACATTTTTTACATGCTCACAATAACTCATGGGTCAGAATAAGTAAGAAAATATACTGAATTTCTGAAAATGAAACAGCAAATCAAAATTTATAAAATGAATCAGAAGCCACACACATTGGAAAATTTAGAACTTTAAATGCTTATGCTAGAAAAAATAAGCTACTGGCTACTGTGATTATAAAATAAATTTAGTTAGATCAAAGGCTGAGGACAGACATACAAGTCAGTTGCTCTTCTGACCCAAGGTAAACCTGACAACAAAGTTTGAAAATATTACAATGCCATCAAACAATTAGAATGCTTAAGGGAAAATTCATATACATGACCTGAGTAATGAATTTTATAAATCACTGCTCATATGTATGAAAGAAAACCTAAGTAGGGATATAATATTCTCGTAGATGCTAAAATTTAATGCATTCAAATGCAGTTCTTGACAAGCTTGCCCACAGATATTTTGACAGCCCAATAATATGTATAATGGCTTTCTCTAGCTTTTGGAGGAAAGTAATGCTGACTTTAAAATTTAGATGGACAGCCCCAGACTCTGTGTCTGCTCCAGTGCCAGGCCAGGTTCCATATCTCTAGGTTACAAATAAGTATCTATAGAGTCACCCTCCAAAACTCAGCTCCAAGATGTTACCCACAGACCCTTCCACTAGGTATCCTCAGATCTAAATTCCAGGTGAGTCCCACAGACTCATTTGGATAAGCAATATAAAATTCATGTGTCCTATCACAAAATGACTTTAGCTTTTTTAAAATAGCTATCTGAAAGTGAATGGATAGAAAAAGTCATTCCAATCAAATGGCAACCCAAAGGAACAACCCAACTGAACAAAGGTGGCAAAGGTGTCTATACCATATAAAATAAATTACATCTCAAGTAAAAATATGCCACAAGAAAAATAAAAGGTCGTTAAATTATAACAAAAGAAACACTTCATAAAGAGGATGTAATGACCATAACTACCTATCTACCTACTTCTGAAAAACCATATACATAAAACAAAAACTGCCGGATCTTAAGAGAACAAATGCCAATAAGATTTGATATGGAACTTGGGTACTTAATCTTCAACAACTGAAAGTGCATCAGGCAAAATTCAACACAGCCGAAGACTTGAATAACACTCTAGATCTAAGACACCTGGGAAACATAAATAGAACATTCTATCAAATAAGAACGTACACATTCTTTTCAAGGGTATGCAATATCAGGATTCTCCCTAGGATGGATCATAGATTTAGTCATTAAAAATAATTTGAACAAATTTAAGAGGACTGACATCACATCCTTGTTCTTTTCTAGCCACAATGAAAGGAGACTAGGAAATTTTAAGGGGAAGAAGTTTGGAAATTCACAAATATGTTGAAATTAAACAACATACTTCTGGAGAGCCAACGAATTATTTAAGAAACTGAAAGTCTCAAAATGAACATTCAGAGAGGAAACAATACTAGTCATTCCAAAACTCTTTCAAAAATCTGAAGATGAGGGAGTACTTCCAAATTCATTTTATAAGCTCAGAATTACCCTGATAGCAGATGACATTACAAGAAAAAAATTCCGGGCTGGTAAGCTTGATGAGCACAATCAAAATGCTCAACACTAGCATAGTGATTTAACAGTGAATCAAAAGGATCATATGCTATGATCAAGAGAAGGATTGTGGATGCTGGAGAGATGGCTCAGGCATTACAATAGAATACTTGGCATACAAGCTTGAGTTTGAATCTCTAGCAACGATGTAAAAAGCCAGGTATGGCATGTGCCTGCATTTTCAGTTCTAGGAATGTAGGGACTGGAGAATCCCTAGGCTTGCTGATTCACCATCCTAGCTGAATTTGTGAGCTCCAAGTTCAGTGAAAGACCTGTCACAATAATAAGTAAGACACCTGACTTCTTCCATCTTCTACACACATATGCACACATTGATATACACTTGGATGTATAAATACACATATACAAACACCTAAACACACACCTCATATACACATGTAAAAGGAGACATTGTCCATGAGATATAAGAAGACTTCAAAATGGGAAAATTAATAAAAGTGACATATCATATTAACCTATGAATATTTAAAATCATGTGAATCAGACACAGAGCAGAAGGCCAAGTCTGACCCATGGGCCAAATCCAGACCACAATTAATTCTACTGTTATTCATGAACAAAAATCTTTATTATGTTTAAAAAATTCATATAATTATCTCAAAAAAGATTTAACAAGAGTCTTCTTCCTTCCATGTTAAAAACTAACAATTTAGGTTTAGAAAAATGTACCTCAATATAATAAAAGTCATATATTTGTAAAGAATATACCTTATAAGTAGTTCATATCCAAAATATGTGAGTAATAAAATTCCTTAACATAACAGGCTGAGAAATAAGTTAATGCCAGGAAGGGATTACCTCTTTTGTAGTGACCTTCCAACATTATAGGTTATTACCAATGCTATTGGTTAGACTTCCAAATTTGACAGGAAGACCCTATTACTGAAGATACCACATACATCAATCACAGAACATAGAGAAATCAAGTTGGTACTTCCCTGGAAGCTTCTTCATCACTGGTTAGCTTTCACAGTGATATAAGGTGCTATGTATACTAACCAAGAAGGAAAGTAGTCATCAGTTTCCTAGCTGTGAAACCTATATGTTATAATAAAGAATTTATTATAATATTTTTCATATATTATATATTATTATATATATTTATATATATTATTTATAATAATATAGTTCTGGCACCAGTGCTCACTGGTGCAATACTGGCATGAATGTAATGAAGTACACAACCACTTTCTGATTGGATTTAAAGCTTACTCCACAAGATGGAACCCCAAACTAGCATCATTGTCAGTGCCCAAAACCTGTGGCTAGATAGGTCATAAGCTCTAGGGGAGAATCTACTACTATCATTCTACTAAGTGGACATAGTATTAAACCCATTCCTAATGACTAATTATTGTACTCATAGATTAGTTCATATCTCAACTCTCACCAGAGAAGCCTTTTTATACATTAAACGGTAGCTAACACAGAGACTTGTAACTTCTCAAGGTGTGCTAAGGGGTACTTAACCATAAATAGGACAATCTATATCACACCTCCCCCTTCCAAGGCTCAGGGATCATTGAGAAGTGGGAGCAAAAAGATTATAAGAGCCAGAGGTGATAGATGACTACAAGGAAACAGTGTTTTCTGGACACAGCTGGACAGTTGCACACATAAATTCAAAGCAGTTGTGATGGTTTGCTCAAGAGCTACAGAATTTCAAGCCAAGAGTACTTGGGAAGCATAAATAGTTTTTTGTTTTGTTTTGTTTTTAAGAGAGGATACAAAATTGGGTAGGTATTAAGATGGGGGTGAATCTGGCAAGATATCAAAATCCATTGTGTGAAATTCTCAGACTAACAAAAGAAAATAAAAAGAATAAAAAAACAGAAAAACAATTAATAATAGCAAAACCCCAAATAATCTAACTTTAAAGTTAGGCAAAAGCCCCAAGTAGTCACTTCTCAAAAGAAGATATGTAAGTGGCCAATAACTATATGAAAATATGTTCAATATTTCTGGTCATCACAAAAATAAGATTTTAAGATCAATGAATTATCATCACCTGATGCTTTTAGGATGGCTCCAGTCAAAGAAACAAAAGCTAAGAAGTGTTGGATAGGTCAATGGAAGCTATTTACATCTTTGGTAGGAGTGTGAAAAGCATAGTCATTATGGAAAACAATATGGAGTTTTCTTTAAAAATTAAAATTGAACTACCCTATGACCCAGCCAGTCTATGTCTGGTTTTATACCCAAACAATATATAATCAGAGTGATGAAAAGATGTTTGCACTCACATTCATGGTAGCATTATTCTCCATAGTCAAGATGTTGAAACAACTCAAATGCCCATCAATATGTGTATGTATATACACATAGAATAGTACTCAGTCATTTAAATAAATAAATCCTGTCTTTGTTAGTATAGATAAACCTGGAACGCATTATGCTAAAATGAAGGCACATAGAGACAAATACCACATTTCTCATTTACATGTAGAACCTCATAAAAGCTAAACTTGGAAGCAAAACATAGTGGTATTACTAAGGATGAAGATGCTGGTCACAGTGTATGAAGCTTCAGTTTTGAGGACTACACTCTGTAGATCTATTGCATAGGACTGTGACTGGAGTTAATAAGATTATACAGAGAATAAGTCTGAAATGGTTTCATCACAAAAATATTTAGTATGTGAGGCAATAGATATATTAATTAGCTTGATTTAATTACTTGGCAATGTATACATTCTGTTGCCCCAGGTATCCACAGGGGTTTAGCTCTAGGACACTCAGATTCCAACACTGAAATGTTCAGTGACCATCTATAAAACAGCATAGTATTTGTATTATAACCTCTGTCCCATATACATCACTCCTAATTACTATAATGCAATGCAAATGCTGCATAAATACCTGCTGAATTATTTGGAAAGTAATGACAAGAAAAATATGCTGTGCACATTCAGCAAAATTTTTAAAACATATGTTGGGTTGCTAGTATTGATCAAATATGGGAAGCTGAATATAAATTAAAATAATACACTGTACATCAAAATACATGTACATATATATTTTATTTGTCAGCAATACAGCAGAGAAATATGTGTTTGTATGTATTGATGTGTGTGCTTGTGGGTATGTGTTCATGTGGGTTCATATGTGTGCACATGGGTGCACATGTTTGTGTGTGCATGCATGTGGAGGCCACAGGTCAACCTCAGTTGTCAGTCTTCGGGTAGGCTAAGATGGCGGGCCAGTGAGCCCAAGGGATCTTCCTGTCTCTGGCTCCCAAACGCTGGGGTTATCAGCACACACTACACAACATCCAATTCTTTTATGTTCATGCTGGAGACTAAAATCAGATCCTCATGGTTCTACAGCATTTTACCAATTGAGATACACCTTCTTGGCTTTATGAGACATACTTTTAAAATAAAACCAACATGTTAAGTTAGAAGGTTAAAATAAGTTTTAAGAAAGCAAAGGGAAAAATGTACCCTAACTTATCTGAAGACTTATTAATAAGCTAGTATTAATACTCTAGATTTAAGAACAAGGATAGCTGATGGAGGACCCTGGAAGATAAGCACAGCTTTACCACAGGTCTGTAGGCGTGAGGCAGGGAGAATTTTACCTACTAGGCCGCTTGATGTCTCTGGCCTTGGGCAGTAGGGCACCATTATGACTATGGAAAACAATATGGAGTTTCCTTTAAAAATTAAAATTGAACTACCCTATGACCCAGCCAGTCTATGTCTGATTTTATACCCAAACAATATATAATCAGTGTGGTGGTATTGTGTTCCCCAAAATATTGTGTACTCTAATAAATTTATCTGGGGTCAGAGAACAGACAACCACTAAATACAAAGACTAGAAAATGGTGGCACTCACACCTTTAATCCTAGCATTCCAGAGATAGAAATCCCTCTGGATCTCTGTGAGTTCAAGGCCACATTGGAAATAGCCAAGCATGGTGACACGCCTTTAATCCCAGAAAGCCAGCCTTTAATCCCAGGGAGTGGTGGTAGAAAGCAAAAAGATATATAAGGCGTGAGGACCAGAAACTAGAAGCTTTTGGCTGGTTAGGCATTTGGCTGGTTAAGCATGTGGCTGGTTAAGCATTCAAGCTTTGAAGCAGCAGTTCAGCTGAGATTCATTGGGATGAGGACACAGAAGCTTCCAGTCTGAGGAAACAGGACCAGCTGAGGAATGGGCAAGGTGAGATAGCTGTGGCTTGTTCTGTCTCTCTGATCTACCAGCATGGACCCCAATAACTTGCCTCGGGTTTGATTTTATTAATAAGAACTTTTAAGATTCCTGCTACAAATCAGAGTGATGAAAAGATGTTTGCACTCACATGACAGATGGAGCAGGACAAGGAGACCCATAAACAGGCCCATGGAGGATCATCCTGACCTCAGGTTTTAACTTTTTGTATATTCTAGATACTAATATTTGCCCAAATGTTCTCTAGGCTGTCTCTTTACTTAAATTATGGTGTTATTTGTTTAAGAGAATTAGTTTTATATGATCTCACTTGTCAATTGTTGGTCTTAATGCCTCTGTTACTTGAGTCCTGTTTACAGAGTCCTTTCTTGTGCCTACAATTGTTAAGTGTATTTCCCTACTTTTTCTATCAGATTCAGGGTATAATGTCTTATCAAGGCATGGTCCTTGATCTACTTGGAGTTGGATTTTGTGCAGTAACAGAGGTAAGGATCTAGTTTTATTCTTATACATTGTAGTAGTTTGAATGTAATTGGCCCTCATAATCTGGTAGGGAGTGGGAGTAGCACTATTAGGAGGTGTGGCTTTGTTGGAGTAGGTATGGCCTTCTTAGAGGAAGTGCATCACTGTAGGGTGAACTTTGAAGTTTCCTATACTTAAGCTATCACCCAGTGTGTTAGACCATTTCCTGTTGCCTGCAAGATGTAAGACTCTCAGTTACTTTGCTCACACCATGTCTGCCTGCATGTTGCCATACTTCTCTCCATAATGATAATGGACTTGACCTCTGAACTGAAAGTGAGCCACCCCAAATAAATGTTTTCCTTTATAAGAGTTCTTATGGTCATGGTCTCTTTATAGCAATAGAAACCCTAACTAAGACATACATGCAGCCACCCAGTTTGACCCGCACCATTTCTTAAGATGCAGAGGGTGCCCCCTTTCAGTGTGTTTATTTTGCTTTTTGTCAAAAATCAAGTGGCCATGGATGTGTAGACTTATATCTGGGTCCTTAATTCTCATCTGTTTATTGATGTATCTAGGGTTTTTGTCAGCACTATGCTGGCTTTACTACTATAGCACTATTCTAATGTTTGATTTTGATATCTGAAATGTTCTTTGAAAAGGTATCACTATAAGCCAATGCCTTTGGAATAGCCTTTTAATTGATGCTGTTAGAAAAATTATACACTGATATAGGTAAGTAAAAAGATTCATCCTTTAATTCTCACTGTAATAAATACTGATTTGAAATTTATCATAGATCTAAGCTAGTTCCAAATCATGTAGTATCATGCTTACTTGACTTGAACATACCTCCCCAAGGTCTATTCACACTAGCCAAACACACCATCCATGCTTTCTTTCAACAGCCACAGCTGTAAAACAATGTGGAAATAAAAATCCTAGACCCTTTGGATTAAGTGAGTATTAATAAGGGCACCTTGACAGGAATATATATATATATATATATATCTGGCCAGTGAGCCCAAGGGATCTTCCTGTCTCTGGCTTCCAAACACTAGGATTATCAGCACACACTACACAACATCCAATTCTTACATGTATGTATATATATATATATATATATATATATATATATATATGTGTGTGTGTGTGTGTGTGTGTGTGTGTGTGTATGTATATATGTGTATATATGTATATATATATCAAACAAACAAAGATTTGTTGATTAAAAAATAGCACTAAAATATAAAAAGGGACCAAAGGTTATAACTCAGAAGTAGGACATGTGACTAGCATGTGCCAACCTCTAAATTTGATCCTTGGCATAAAAAATACAAGGAAAGAAAAGGAAGCCATACATTGGGAAAAAACATTTGCTAAACATACATCTGGCAAAGAACTATTTTCCAAAATACATCACAAAGGTTTAAACTTAACAATAAAAAGACAAACACATAGTTTAAAAAAAAAACACTGGAGGGAAAAAGCCCAACTCACTAAAGCAGATGTACACATGGCAAATACACCCAATGTGATATCATTGGGATAACGGGGAAAAGCACTTGGAGGCTGGGAGGCAACTGGGAACCACTGTTGGTAGAAAGGGCAGATGATACAGTAACTTGGAAAACCAGCTGGGTGGATCCATTTAGAGCTCATCACAAGACAATGGTCCTCCTCCTAAGAAAAAGAAAAGCACACATGGATAAAGATGTGTATATACCCTGATGTGTACTGTTGGATGTGTAGCAATATTTTTATTATAATACTTTCAAACCAGGACAGTAGTTGTGTGGGACTGAGGTATGTCAGGACTGGGGTAAGTTTCTGCTACCCTGTACAAGAGAACTTTCAGTGTGAATGAAATTGCTCTGAAATCTTACTGTGGTTGGTATTAATTACTATATCGATTTATCAAAATTCAGAACTGAATACTTAAAATGGGTATAGTTTAATGTATGTAAATTATTCACCAAAAAGTATGAATGTGAAACTAGGCAAAAATGACGTGAAGAATAGTTTTTGTAAATAGCTATGAAGCAATGTGTACAACTAATAAGAAGTAAATAAAATAATTCATACTCCCAATTGATTTCTCTCAACTTCATTATTACAGCCAATAACTGTGCGCGGTCTTTTGAAATTAGTTTTTATTCCATCTCTAAGTGCTCCCCACAGAATAGCATGGCTTCTCCACATAAAATACGCAATACAGATTCTGCCCAGATGGACAAAAGATGTATTGTCTTCAAACCACTGGCTTGGCTCTCCTATACTCAACTTTTACTTCAGATATCCAAGCTTAAAAGCAACCAGATGAAGTTTTATGGAATTTTCAAGGGGGGGGGGGAGAGAAGACAACGATGAAGAAGAAATAATGAAAACAACTTTTGCTCATGGGAGGAAGTTTCCTGTGCCAACTCTGAGTTCAGAATGATCTTTTATTGGCCGGATTCCAAATTCTTCCAAGTGCAGGCTTCTAATGGAAGTGCTGATGCGGGCTTTGTCCCAGTTCTTCAAACAGGGTGTAAACTCGGGTGAAGCCATTCACTGTCATTTACAGTGTGTCATGTTCCTCAGCAAGAGTTCCCCTCACTTCAGTTACTGTTGCTGTAGTCATATGCTAAAGTGGCTGAAAATCACAACTTCCCCAAGCTCTATTTTGGTATCCTTATACAATACAAATTAACCTTGATGATGAAACTTTTCAGACTAGGTTTTCTCTACATTGGCATAATAAATCTCCCCTGTGGTTTTTTTTTTTTTTCATCAAGTGCAAACCTTCTGTTTATTTTGCCTGTTTCTGCTATGTTGGTGAAATAACACAGACAGTGCAGAATTCTTTTGAAACTGCTAGCTCTTTCCATGAGGACACAATCAATGTCTGTAATTGAAAAGAATCTAGATGAAAAACTTACTGATTTTGGGAAAAGACATATTAGCTCAGCCTGCACATGTGCGGCTTTGTATTCTGCGTTTCATGGTTTATTAGCAGCTGGACAACTCCACAGAGCTGCATTATAGCCATATGTTAATCAGAAGCTTAATGAAAAGGAAGGCACTAGACATACACTGATACAGTGCATATTTTTATAAGTGCCTCAAATAAATGATGCTTACAAATTAGAATAATGACCTAAGTTTTCTTCCCATAACACATTTGCAATAAATAAACTAATTTGCAGAGAAGTCACTGTCCTTGCTTTTGCAGTACAGTGAGAGACACCCAAATCTCCATTCAGCCTTTTGTCTGGGGATTCATCACGGATGAACTCTCCAAGTCATTGACACCTGACTCTTAAGCAGGCCATTCAAACTGCAATTTACACATGTGCCCAGAAGGAAACATGGCTTCCATTTTTTTTTTTTCAGGAAGCATGCCAGAGACCGTCCTGAATTCAGTTCATATAAAAGCTCTATGGGTCCTTCTGCACAGGTGACAATGACTCAGATCTGTTAGGATAAACTCAGATATGTGATACTCAACAGTAGAGACTGGTCATTCAGAATAAGGTAACATGATGTATAGGCTTCACGTTCCATTCTGTCTCTTGAAATTTAGGTCATATCCAAGGAACTGGATGGGGCTTACCACATGGTTGGCACTGTGCATGCACTAAATCTGGTTTCAACTTTCAGGTGCGATCAGCACATAAAAACTGCCATCCTAATGCTACCACATTTGACACCCCCCACTCCTAAAATAAGAACGATGCCAAGAACTGCATTAGTTGAAAATATATTGTCAATTTGGAAGATGACTCTAATGGGAAGAGATGCTGCACAGCCAAAATTGCTAGAGCTGCTTACATTGCTCCTAACCAGATTCCACTTCTCAACTTCTCCAAATAGTCTCGCTTTGGGGAACAGTGGTTGCTGTATCTCAGAACAAAGCTAAGTGTCGAGCATGTGTCAGTATTATAGTTATAACTCACCCTGTGCTACTCTTTCCTACAAATATCCTCCTATAGATTAAAGGAAACTTATTTTTATTTCCAGTACCATAGTCCCAGCTTTATATTTTTTATTATTATTTTGCATAATATTTATTTTTATAGTTATAGTATAGTTGCATCATTTCTACTTCCCTCTCTTCCATCCAACCCCTCTGACGCACTCCCCCTGATCTCTCTCAAATTCATGGCCTCTTTTCCTTTAATCTTTATATATATATATATATATATATATATATATATATATATATGTATATATATTCCTAAATATATAAATATAACCTGCTCAGTCCACATAATTTTTATTCTCCTCTCTCTTCATTGTCCTTTCAAGTTAGAAAAATGACATTAAAATATTATATTATCCCCTAGGCAGTATATGAGGCAGAGCAAAGATTGGTACAGATTTTATTTGCTATTGTTTTTAAGAGAAATAAACCTTTTAGTGGTAACAGGAAAGCGATAGAAGAAAAAAAGAAGAGAGTGGGGGAAGAGTAGAGAAAGACGGGTGGCATAAAGAGAGCTGAGCAACTAGAATGAGCGCAATAATATTTAGGAAAAGCACAAGCGTGGAGAGGAATGGGTCCGCAGTCAGGGGCTATATTTGCCTTTTCGTCTACAAGCTGCCATGTTGGTGTGATTCTGCTTTTTCTACTAAAAACTCCAAGCTTCTGGCAAAACAAAAATAGGTCTCCTACCAAATGTTTCTTAATGCCTATATCTGCCAAAGTGTTGCTTACTGCTGGAACAGGTCAAGTCCTCAGTTCCCACTGATTTCAAACAGCAACAGTGCACTCTTGCCCACAGTTGAAACTTCTGTGCACACTCAAAGTTTGACAGCCTTTTATCTTCCCCCTGCCTATTACCCATGGTCCTTTTGAGACTCAAGCTCCTTCTGTATTGTGCTCCCACTTTTTCAGAAATTTCTTTATTTAGAACAACAGGAAGGTGGGGAAGAGATTCATCTGCCTCTTCTGCATGTCCCAGAATGGCATGGACCACTGACATTCATACTTCTTTTGTCTATAATGGTCTGTTTTCCAGCATGGAAAGTGGAAACTGTAGTTTCTGACTTGGAAGATATCTCCTTACAACAACTCAACCTCATGGACAGGACCATGAGTCTTTAATGGCTAGATATATAGCTCTTCCACACCTCTAAAGGTATATGTTTTAGGTCTTCATATGTAAAATTGTCTTAAATTTCAGATACAAGATACACAATGGGGGTGGGTACATAGGTGACTTAGTGGTTATGAGCTCATATGGCTCTTGTAGAGGACCTTAGATTAGTTCCCAGTACCCACATCAGGGAGTGCCCAACTGCCTATAACTCCAGCCCTATTGGATTTGAATACCTCTTCTGGCCTCCAGGGGCATCTATACATTCATGACACACATATACACAGACACACTCACATATATATAATTTAAAATAAAATATTAACCTTTTAAGAAAATATTAATTAAAGAAATAGGTTGATAGGGTTAAGGTATTAATGTTACTAAGGCTCATACAGAAGTCATTCACTCTTAGACTATTACTTATTTATATGTCTTATCTATTCAGCTTTAACTATTATCAACTAATAATTTATCAAATAATCAAGTCTCCACCTAAGTTCTTCCCACCCTAGAAAGGATATAAGATAACCGAGTCTATGAATTTTAGAATTCCAGTTGAATTGTTCCATTAGAAATCTGCTATGATCTATATGCACATCTATTCCTTAAATAAATAACTTCAGAACTATAACCTCCAAG